TGGTGGGTGGGTTTCCTGGGGGGGGGGGGCGGGTGTGGAGGGCAGAGACTGTTAGAAGTAGAAAGGGTGGCATATTGGAATGTGTGACCCGTAGGTGTTTGCTTAGTGACAGCCAGGTGGTTCAGGGTATAGCATCCTCTAGGAAACAAGAACGGGTGTGGACTGAGCAGGTGTACTGTGGCAGCAGTGAGGAATGAAACCCAGAGCGGTACAGACAGCACCCCAGCTCTGGGATATACTCAGGCCAGGTCACTGGGAAGAAGTGGGGGTGGGGGAGAGCCACAGTTCTCAGTCCTGACTCCTAACCTCCCAATGTCTCCCAGGTGTCCCCAGCCCTGCTTCAAGAAGGGAATGGGCTCACTGCTCGTGTGGATGAGGGTGTGGAGGAATTCTTCTCCAAAAGGCTGATCCAGCAGGATCGCCTGTGAGTGAGGGTCAGTTGCTGGGGGCGGAAGAGGGTGGGACACGCTTGACTTTCTTCACTCACTGATGGTTGTTCCTACAGCTGGGCTCTAGAGGAGGATCCAGCCACTGAGGGCGGTGCCACTCCTGTCCCCCGTACACTTCGAAAGAAGCTGGGTACCCTCTTTGCCTTTAAGAAACCTCGTTCAACAAGGGGTCCAAGATCTGATCTAGAGACCAGCCCTGGAGCAACAGCTCGTGCCAGAAAAACCACACTTGGAGACCTGCTTCGACCACCAGCCCGTCCAAGCCGCGGTGAGGAGCCTGGAGGCGCAGAAGGGGGCACCAGCAGCCCTGACTCTACTCGAAGAAATCGGCCTCGTTACACACGAGAAAGCAAGGCCTACTCTATGATACTGCTACCTGCTGAGGAGGAGGAAGCAACAGTGGGTGCCAGATCTGACAAGGTAAAGACTGATGTCAGGGGCTGAGGGCCCTTCAGGAATACAAAGCAGTGGGCTTTCTCTCTACTTAGGCATCTCTGTCCTCAGAGGCGGCCTCTGGAACGGGGAGACACAGAACTGGCTCCATCTTTTGAACAGCGGGTCCAAGTGATGCTGCAGAGGATCGGTGTAAGCCGGGGCAGTGGGGGTGCCGAAAGCAAGAGGAAGCAAGTGAGTTGGGGTGTGTGAACTGGGGGCAGGTGGCAATCTGTGGATGACATATGTAACCAAGATGGGGGGAAACACATGGCACAAATAGATCTAATTGTCAGTTATACTCTTACCCCTAAAAATAGTCATTGATCTTTCTTCCTTCATGCTTCTGACCTGGTACCTCCTAGGGTGTAGGGAACTTTCTCCAAAGATTTTTAACGGAAATTTGACCTTGTTACCTATACCTGAAAACGGTCCTTCAGGACTTCCTCTTTATCCAGATTCCTAACCCTACAGCAGGATCTTCTGGGATCTGTCCTGGCTACCTCAGACTTCTCTGCTGTCCTTTGGAGCATCTCAGAGCCTCACATGGCCATAGGTTTATATCTTCTGTCCTATGTCTACTTGTGAACTGGGTTATTCAGGTTCCTTTTCAGCTGTCCCTGCAGTTCCTTGTGAGCCTTCCCTGGCTCCCTTTCATAGTCACCCTGATAATGCCATTCCAATCATAGTCTTTATTATGAGCCACACCCCTGGATACCATCCACTTAAGTTTTTCAGGAAAAACACACATGCAATGAGACTGGCCTGAATTTAGAGGCATTAAAGTATGGGAAGAATCATAAAACTAAGAAATCACATTATCTATTGGGTATAGTAGTAATCTCAGCCTTCAGGAAGCTGGGACAGGAGGACTACAAGGAAGACTAGCATGACCTATACAATGAGACTATCTCCCTAAAAAAACACAAACAAAACCATGTAAAAGCCGGGTGGTGATGGAGCAGGCCTTTAATCCCATCACTCGGGAGGCAGAGGCAGGCAGATCTCTGTGAGTTCGAGACCAGCCTGGTCTACAAGAGCAAGTTCCAGGACAGCCTCCAAAGCCACAGAGAAACCCTGTCTCGAAAAACCAAAAACCGAAACAAAACAAACAAAAAACTCAAAAAACAAACAAAAAAAAAACAACAAACAAAAACAGTGAGACTATCTTAAAAACAACAAAATCAAATAAATCACAATACCTCCTTGTTATGACTGACATGCATATTTTCGTGTGTCAACTCTGTCATCCCAGACTGCAAGGTCAGAGGATAGGGGAATATGTTTGCCATGTTAGGGCCATCCCATGGTATGCATTCTGTAGCTAGGTTTTAAGAACATAAATGAACAGAGACAAGGCCACAGTAAGGGCAACAGGACATCTGACTGATTTGTTTCCTACAGAGCAAAGATGGTGAGATCAAGAAGGCAGGCTCAGATGGTAAGTAGGACCCTGGAACAAAGAAATATATTTAGAGGGAGGAGGTGGCCTTAGAGATAGTCCCTAGGGCACTTGCTCTCCTAGGGGAGGGGACAGGCTGTTTTTCCTCCCTGAAGGTAAACCATTGAGGTCTGGCACCTAAGCCTCTAGTCCTACTTTGCAGGTGACATTATGGACAGTTCCACAGAGACCCCTCCCATCTCAATCAAGTCCCGTACCCACTCTGTGTCTGCTGGTGAGTGAGGGCTACTGTATATGTTGAGGGAGGCACAAGGATTATGAGGCAGGGGACTAAACCATTATTCAGAACCATCTCAAAGGCCAGGCTCAGGAGTTAGCTGACATTTGTTTCTCTACCCAGATCCCTCATGTAGACCCGGGCCAGGGGGCCAGGGGCCTGAGTCTGCCACCTGGAAGACACTGGGGCAACAGTTGAATGCAGAGCTCAGAGGCCGTGGTTGGGGCCAACAGGATGGTCCAGGGCCCCCTTCCCCATGTCCCAGCCCAAGTCCCCGAAGAACCAGCCCCTCCCCAGACATCCTGAGTCTCCCTGAGGACCCTTGCTTGGGCCCTCGGAGTGAAGGTAGGTAGGCACCCCAGTCCTAGGCTGGGACTGGCAGCATGTCTGCTGGGAACTTGACTCATCTGGGAACACTGAAAGTGGGAGGTAAAGACTGGGTGTGGGCAGCTATTGGGAACATACCCTGATATCTTGGCCTCCTCTAGATGGCCAGCTGAGGCCGAGGCCTCTCTCAGCAGGGCGGCGAGCAGTGTCTGTGCATGAGGACCAGCTCCAGACCCCTTCGGGTGAGGGAGACACCTCTGTCTGTGTTTGAGTGCAGGAGATGGGGAAGGGTGGGCTCCTGGACTTCTGTCTGGGTTCTGGTCTTGGACAGAACCACCAGAGCTGAGTGCTGGAGCAATCAGGAAGCCCAGTGTTAGTCCAAGAGTAACAAGCCCTTCCCACTAGAGCAGGCTCTACCTCCTGAAGACTGACCTCTGCTAGGGTGGGAGGATACTAGTTGGAGAATTTATAGGAGTAGAATATGTATGTTTTTTGGTGCACTGAAGATGGAGAAGGGTTGGGAACAGCCAGGCAGTGAGTTTTTCTGTATCCTTTTTAGAACGGCCCCTCCGGCTGCAGCGCTCCCCTGTCCTCAAGCGAAGGCCGAAGCTCGAGGCACCCCCATCCCCAAGCTTAGGTAAGAGTGGGCAAGAGCCAATTGGGACCATGACATGATGGTTCAGCACAAGCTTAGAACTTTCTCCATCTCTCATCACAGGCTCTGGCCTTGGAACCAAGCCTCTTTTTCCATACCCAACAGAATCCTCCAGCCCTGAGCGGAGCCCTCCCTCCCCAGCCACAGACCAAAGAGGCGGCGGTCCCAATCCCTGATCCTGTCCTCTCTTGCCGCATGAAATTATTTTATTAAAAAACTTGAATGAAACAGGGTATGGAATACTGTTTGTCCGTAGACCTGTGTGTACGTATCCTCTGATATGTCCATGGGGCTCCTCATGCCTGCGTTAACTCAGACTCTGACTCCATCACCAAGTTCAGGGCCCAAGCTACAAGCTGAGGAGGAAGCCTGGAAAGAAACCATAGCCTTAAGTCATGGTTATCTGAAACTGGTGACCAATACAGGTGGAACAGCACCAAGCACTCACCTGGCAGTTTGAACCTGGGCATGGAGGGAGGCAGAGGGTGTCTCATATTTATACTGGAAAGCTGAAGCATCATGATGCCTCTTCGGGGGTTCCTGAAAGGGGTGCAGGATCTAGACAGAGTCCAGGAAGGACCCCTAAGGTAATCCAAGCCTCCCCTTAGCCCTCTCCATGCCCCAAGGCACTTTCATATCTTCCCTGCCAGCTGCAGTGCTCACCCAGACACAGCAAGGTTCTTGGGCTCCCTTGGCTCTGGTTCTTGGGAAAAGCTGCTGTTTCTTGATAGGCCACTGGAACTCCCTGACCTCCAGGCTATGGGCCTGGTATGGACTGGAGGCATGGCCTGGGGACGAGCGACTGGGGGTACGGGTCAGGAGTGGGGAGATGGGTGTAGCAGTATGAGGTGGGGAACTGGGAGCCTGAGGTCTTAGGGAAGATGAACAAACAGCTGGTGGAGGCTGGAAGCTGTCCTTCTGTCCAGGTTCTGATGCAGCCAAGTCTGACAGAAGGCTAACACTGGCATCACTTTCCTCCAATGATGTGTGCCTGAGTGAAGCAGGGTTTCCTGGGGAAAGGACACTGACTGTGAGGACAGGACAGACCTTTCAGCTCAGGACAGCTGAGTGCCTGTGAACTGTTATACAGCATTTCACAGAATTCCACACAATCCAGTAATCTGACTGATAGTACTGGCCTGAACCTATGGAACAGGCTGAAGAACAAAGATGGGTCCCTGGAATTCTGGAGAGAATCATCAATGCTGTGGTGGGCCCTGGACTCCAAAGACTCCCAGCTTCTGACCTTTCCAGTTCTCCTTACCCTGTGTCTTCTGACTTGACCCAACAGAACTCAGAATCTGCTCGTCATTCTCAGAGATGTGCAGCAATAAGCTAGAGACAGTGAACATGGCTTCTTCCTGTGGGGCATGAAACTTCAGCATGGCAGTTGCCTAACCCTCACCCTGAAACCTCCCAAGAAAAGCCCCACACTGACCGTGGCCTGGAAGCAAGAGGCAGTCCAGTGGGTGAGGGGGGTGGCTGTGTAAGGCCCTGATAGCATCAGGCAGCTCTCAGCTAGATGCACTAGTGCCCCCCGATGATCCTGGTCCTCTTTCACCTCATCCAGAAGCTGAGACAGTGTTAGGCCTGGGGCCAGAGATTTGGTCAAAGGGTTGAAGTTGAAACAAGAAGAACAGGTAAGGCATTACAGATACTTACTGAAAGACACAAGTTAACAGAAGCACCTCCACATCAAGCTAGGTAGGATTACTAGGAGACCCCACCAGTACCTGCACTGGGAGAAGCAGACTCTGAAAGGTAGTCCCTAGAGAAACAGAGTGAACACTCCTTAGGAACAACCCTGATGCCAGTCTTCCCAGCTCTGCCACCCCTGAGCCCAACCCCAGACTCACTCAAGGCATTCACAGAGCTTTCTCTGCACATCCGAATCCTGATTGCTGGGAGAAAGAGTGGTAGGTAGTCAGTGACTGATGCCCAAGCCTTCTCACCCAAAGACCTATGCCAGGGCGAGTGAAGAGGCAGAGGGTGGACGCTTTATTTACTGTTTTGTTTTGGGGAAAGGAATATGGGGAGACTTGGACTGAACCCCTCGGGACCGCAGGCATACTAAGCCTGTGCTCTGCCATTGAGCTACATCCCCTTCACTTGGAGTGATTACTTACCAACCGGTCACCTGTAGCCGGGGCAGCTCCGATGGCAGCAGGTTAAATCGGTCCACCTGGAGGTAGAACTCTGCAGGCTGGAGGAGTTGGGGAGAGGTGTCTCAGGAGTTGTTACCGGGCACAGTAACCACCCCCCACCCTCGAAGTGAGCCTTACCACTCACCGCACGGTCCTGAGCAATCTGAATGCGGACCCCGCAGACCTGCAGCAGCAGGAGGCGGCCCTCTGTCCCACGGAATCCGAACTCCTTCTCTTCCCTGCGACAGTCACAGCCCTCACTGCCCAGAACCCAGGCATATACCCCCACACGCCTAGGGTAAGAGATTCCTTCCCACCTCACCAGAACCCGCCCACCTCGGGTTCAACCTGGCGCTCCCACCTTCCATAGACGAGGAGTACCTCTCTTACCACTCGGAGGTGTCGATGGCATTGCGCGTCACCAGGCATCGGACACTGTGGGTTCCGTCTGACACAAGCAACACGGCCCCGGTGTTAGGTGTGTCAGGCGCGGAAGATGGGCCCGGAGTCTCCGAGTCCTGGAGTACCTAACAGTAGTGGCTAGTGTCAATTCACTGCCTCAGTCTCCACTCAGGTCTCTGGGATCTCAGGGGCCCGCTCACCTTGAGGAGCTGCCCGACTCGTGGACTGGATAGTGTCTCTGAGTCCAGGATCAGCTCTCGAATCCAGGGCCGCAGTTCCAGCCTCCCCGAGCCCAACATTAGAGCGGCCGCACCCCAGGAGACCCGCAAGTGCGGGACTCCCGCGAGCGCCGCTGCTCAGTATTCGGCGGGAGAGGAAGCACGTGACCGCTAGGCGGATCCTAAGTCGTAGGCACCGCCTATTCACGCTTCTGCGCCTGCGCGAGCGCCTGCTGGGCTGTAGAATGTGTAGTCTTTGGCTGTCTGGCGTGGCTGCTGGCTGCGGGGTGCATTCTGCTTTTTGTTACCAAGTTCTTACTGAGTTTGTGACCTGTTCCTCGGTACTACCTAGCACCGAAAAGGAAAGAGCAAGGGCTGGCCTGGATAGGAGCGATCCAGGTTAGGATACTGCAGCTGAGAATGGGGCTCGAAGCCCCTTCGGCGCTGTGTGACCCCAAGAGGTTTCCCAACATGTTGACTTAGTCTCCTCTGCAAAATGAGTGGTCTTGTAAGGCCAGTGGAAATGACACTACAGACAACTTATGTTATTTCCCTCCTCCTGCTCCCGGATTGGTTCGAGTCCTCGTAGGGACGCTC